GGAAGATCAGCCCTGAGCTAACATCCATGCTAATATTCCTCTTTTTGCTGAGGAAGACCGGCTCTGAGCTAACATCTATTGCCAATCCCCCTCCTTTTTTTCTCCCAAAGCCCCAGTAGATAGTTGTCATAGTTGCACATTCTAGTTGCTGTACGTGGGACGCGGTCTCAGCATGGCCGGACAAGCGGTGCGTCGGTGCGCGCCCGGGATCCAAACCCTGGCCGCCAGTAGCGGAGCGCACACACTTAACCGCTAAGCCACGGGGCCGGCCCATGTAGCTTATATCTTGATTCCATATTCAAAGCCCTCAGGAGAGCAGACATACCAATAGCATTGTTCAGCATATATTCTTCTCTGAAGAAATCTTGAAATATCTTCTGGTTTGTCTTTCCAGTTTCTGAGATCACTACAAAAAAAAAAGAAAAAGAAAAGAAAAGGAAGAAAAGACAGGATTACAAATCAAAAGAAGTGTTTTCCATTCAATACACGCAAATAGAATAAATTTAACATGTTGTGACATTAAGTACCAGGGGGAAATTCTAGAATGATTTATTAAAGTTTTGAAGTTGCCCATGCCACATATATATTATACTTAGCCCCAGATCCATAGTCCAATGTCAAAACCTCTGGGCAAAAATCTTATTAAGAACTTCTTACAAAGTGTTACACTTAAATTAGAAGTTATATATTGCTACAGAAAGCATTTTCTTTTGACTGTTTTTTGCAGCACCTGAGTAAACATTTGCTGGATATATATATCCTTTGGTAACATATCTTAACACAAAGTACATTATACATACACACACACAGAAATATATGCACATGAGTTCACACACACACAGTTCTATAGTATCTTCCATCTAATTAAATGTTTCTGCCACATTAATTTCACCATGGAACATTTATTGAGCATCTACTAGGTACTACACACTGTTTTAGGTGCTGCAGATAACAAGACAGCAGTGTAAGACGGCTGCCCTGAAGTTCAAACTAACAAGACAGACTATTAAAATATACTTCCTGTGCTATGCCCACTATAAGGTTGAGATGCTGCAGGAATGGAAGCAGGAGAGATGTAATTAAAAGAAGGCTTCCTAGAAGAGATAATCTGAGCCAAGTTCAAACAATAGGTAGGGATTTCCTAGAAAACGACAGGAGGAAAAGTTCCAACTAGAGGAAGGAATACCTACAAAGGCACACAGGCAAGAAAGAATAAAACAAGAAATAAGCAGTTTTAAAAGACTAAAGGAGAATGATAAAAGGTGAGGATAGGGGGCTGGCCCGGTGGCGCAAGCAGTTAAGTGCGTGCACTCCAATGCAGCAGCCTGGGGTTCACCGGTTCGGATCCCGGGCGCACACCAACGCACCACTTGTCAAGCCATGCTGTGGCAGCGTCCCACATAAAGTGGAGGAAGATGGGCATGGATGTTAGCGCAGGGCCAGTCTTCCTCAGCAAAAAGAGGAGGATTGGCAGATGTTAGCACAGGGCTGATCTTCCTCACAAAAGAAAAAGAAATTGAAAAAAAATGAATGTCAAGGATAGAGAGGTAAATGAGATTGCAATATCTTTACTTATTAATAATATCAATGGAAATATAACTTCTGAAAGATGTTGCTACAGCATACTACTGCCTGGCTTAATAAACAGGTGCTCAGTAAACATCTAACAATAAATACTATCAAATGCTTTCATTTCTATTGCAATTTCCTATTATCCAGAGTTCACATCTACTGTACTCCTACTCGAGTCAATGTCAAGACTGCTATCAAACCTTTCTCTTCCATATACTGCAAGCTCATATGCCTTTCCTGTCCTTAAGTCCTATGACAATTATATACTAAAATACAAATTAAATGCATAATATATATATTTCTTCTTTTAGGGGAAAGAGTTAAAATTGTTGACTATTTGAATTTCTATACACTAACAACAAATAAGCAGAAAGAGAAATCAAGAATACAATCCCATTTACAATCGCAATAAAAAGAATAAAATACCTAGGAATAAATTTAACCAAGGGGGTGAAAGACCTATACACTGAAAACTATAAGACATTGTTGAAAGAAACTGAAGAAGACATAAAGAAATGGAAAGATATCCCACACCTACGGATAGAAGAATTAACACAGTTAAAATGTCCATATTACCTAAAGCAATCCACAGATTCAATGCAATCCCAATCAGAATCCCAATGACATTTTTCATAGAAATTTACATGGAACAACAATAGACCCCAAATAGCTAAAGCGATCCTAAGAAAAAAGAACAAAACTGGAGGTATCACACTCCCTGATTTCAAAATATACTACAAAGCTATAGTAATCAAAACAGCATGGTATTGGCACAAAAACAGACACACAGATCAATGGAACAGAACTGACAGCCCAGAAATAAACCCACACATCTATGGACAGCTAATTTTTTTTAATTGATGTCATAATAGTTTATAACATTGTGAACTTTTAGTTGTACATTATATTGTTTGTCAGTAACTACATAAATGCATCCTTCACCCCTTGTGCCCACTCCCCAATCCTCTTCCCCCTGGTAACCACCAAACTGTTCTTTCTGTATGGACAGCTAATTTTTGACAAAGGAGCCAAGAATATACAATGGAGAAAGGAAAGTCTCTTCAATAAACAGTGCTGGGAAAACTCGACAGCCACATGCAAAAGAATGAAAGTAGACCAATATATTACACCACACACAGAAATTAACTTGAAATGAATTAAAGACTTGAATGTAAGACCTGAAACCATAAAACTCCTAGAAGAAAACATAGGTAGTATACTCTTTGACACTGGTCTTTGCAGTATCTTTTTGAATATCATGTCTCCTCAGGCAAGGGAAGCAAAAGAAAAAATAAACAAATGGGACTACATGAGACTAAAAAGCTTCTGCACAGCAAAGGAAACCACCAACAAAACAAAAAGACAACCTACCAACTGGGAGAGAAAATATTTGAAAATCATATATCTGATAAGGGGTTAATACCTAAGATATATAAAGAACTCATACAACTCAACAACAAAAAAACAACCTGATCAAAATACAGGCAGAGGATACGAACAGATGTTTTTCCAAAGAAGATATACAGATGGCTAACAGGCACATGAAAAGATGTTCAACATCACTAATTATTACGAAAATGCAAATCAAAACTACAGTGAGATATTACCTCACACTCGTCAGAATGGCTATTATTAAAAAGACAAGAAATAACAAGTGTTGGAGAGGATGTGGAGAAAAAGGAACCCTTGTACACTGCTGGTGGCAATGTAAATAAGTGCAGCCACTTTGGAAAACATTATAAAGATTCTTCAAAAAATTAAAAATAAAAATACCATAAGATCCAGCTATTCCACTTCTGGCTATTTATCCAAAGAACATGAAAACACGAATAAAGATATATGCACCCCTATGTTCACTGCAGCATTATTCACAATAGCCAAGACTTGGAAGTGACCTAAGTAAGTGCCCATCAACAGATGAACGGATAAAGAAGATGTGGTACATACATATACAATGGAATACTACTCAGCCCAAAAAAAGACGAAATGTTGCCATTTGCAACAACATGGACGGACCTTGAGGCTATTATGCTAAGTGAAATAAGTCAGCCAGAGAAAGAAAATTATGATATGACTTCACCCATATGTGGAAGATACACACACACACACACACACACACACACACACACACACAGATACAGAAAACAAATGATGGTTACCAAAGGGGAAGGAGGGTATACAGGGAGGGCGAAAGGGGTAAAGGTGCACGTCACATGATGAGAGATGGCAACTAGACATTTAGTAGTGAACACGATGCCATCTATACAGAAGACAAAATATAATGATGTACAGCTGAAATTTATATAATGTTATAAACCAACGTGACTTCAATGAAAAAATAAAATATAAAAAATAAATTGTTGACTATTTATAGATTTTTAAACTAACTCTAGAACTCTGATATAGCTTCCTTCAAAATGTTCCAAATGTTGACCTCTTTTCCTCATTTTTAAAAGAAAGATTTGATATCTAGTTTTGCCATTATGAGGCTTTCACTGACATATGCCCAAAAAAACCCCCCTAGTCTATTGCCTTTTATTCAATCCTTACAGCTGCTTACCAATTTTAAAAGGAAAGGAATGCAAATTGTATTGCCTGTGGAATGAAGCTCTTTTACCTCAAAAATATTCTTAGGTTTCCTTCTAATCTTATTCTAATCAATTAGTTCCATATACACTGAAATTAAATGACATTCATATTATTTAAAAAAATTTTTCAGAGTACCCACTTATTGTCTCAGATTACAATCTTTAAAGAAACTAGGGGCCGGCCCCACGGCCTAGTGGTTAGGTTTGGCACACTCTACTTCAGCGGCCCAGGTTTCGTGGGTTCGGATCCCAGGCGCGGACTTACACCACTGCCAGGCATGCTGTGGTGGCGATGCACATATAAAATAGAGGAAGATTGAGACAGACGTTAGCTCAGGGTTAATCTTCCTCAAGCAAAAAAGGAGGACTGGCAACAGATGTTAGCTCAGGGCTAATTTTCCTCAGCAAAAAAAAAGAAAAAACCTACATTTCCTGGAATTGCCATTGCTTTATACATGTAAACAGGAATAATTCTAGAATTTCTAAGTGTATTTCTAACATCAATATGAAGTTAGGCCTATATGCAAAAATAGCTCAAAGTCAGAATAAGCTAAAATCAACACATAAGGCTCTGCCCATCTGTAAACTGATAAGATCATAGGCTCAACTCCAGAGGAAAGGCTAATCCCAGGCCGAAAAGTGATGTTTTAAAAATATTCATGTTGTGGGCAAAACAATAAATTCAAAAACAATTCAGTTAACAAATCAGTCTAAGCAATCAAAAAATTTTAATTGCAATTTTAAGATTCAGTTACTTTAAATTTAATAGGTATTTGAAATTATGTACTGAATCAAGCTTGTTTCTTCCTACTCCAAATATAATGGTTTACATAAACTTTTAATTTGGTAAATAGATCAACCCAAACATTATTATCTTAACACAATACAAAAAACCAAATATACAAAATAAAAACACAAGGGAAAAACCATACGTGGACTCTACCAATTCCATAAGAAACAAAATACAAAAAGTAAAAATAGTTTTCAGTATATATAAAATACTGACAACCAGTGGTGGTAATAATAAGTACATGACTTTGATCCTGAGAACAAACATTTCTTTCTTTTGTCTTTAATAGTTAAATGTGTACAGACAGATTGACCTAAATGATTAGAAAGATAAGAAGAATTAATCTTTTTATCTCAGCATGTTTATTTAAACATACGTAAAAATATACTGACAATAAAATAGGATAAATGCTATAATTAAGTACATTCTGCTTTGGGACCATGAACAGTGGAAAAGCACAGGCAGTCACAGAAACACGTGACAGCATGTTATGCTTGGAGAATGGCAAGTCACTCAACATGGCCAGATTGTCAGGTGAGGTGACAAACTGAACTGCTTCATATCAGCTTTTCTAAAATAAAAAGCGGATTCATACCGTAACTGGACATTTTGTTTAGAATGAATGGAGAGAGACAAGATATTTGAAAGGCATATAAGTAGTTAAAAAAAATCATTATTCTCCTCATTTTTCTAATATTAACTACAAATGGTAAGTCTTTAAATTTTTCCGTTTTCTAAGTTAACTACATAAGAATGTATTAACTTTATAACAAAAACAATTCTAAAAAATTACAAAGTACTACAAAAATTTGCTAACACTTTATCAGTTCTATTGGAAAAAAAAGCATTCAGGTGAGAGGGAAAAAAGTTTTTACCTCTGATATCACCCCCAGCACAGAAAGCCTTTTCTCCAGCTCCCTTTATAATGATCAGGAAAGTTTCAGGATCTTGTTCCCACTTCTATCCAAATGCAAAAGAAGATGGTATAAGCATATTATAAATACAAACTCATTAAAGATATATCCATATGTACATATACACATATATACACACATACATCTATGTATATATATAGATCTATACGGATATATATATATAAAGCATAAACTTTATAAAGCATATCTAGAAGAATAGATCTCGACTTCATTTTCTTTTCTGACATAAATTAGAGGCAATTCCAACAAAGTTGCTAGATGAGTACACTTTGCAATTCAAATTTCATGATGGCATCTGAAATCTTTGCCATGACCACTTTGAGACCAACATGAAAAAGTATGGGCTTAATAATATTATGTTACATAAGCTTATAAATCTGGTGAATAAATCAACCCAACCCAAAGATAGTTGATAAACAGAGCATTAACCTTTCTACTGTGGTGAAATAGAGCTCTGTCCTACTGACAAATTTACAATTAACAGTGAAACCACCTATAGTGATCAAATCTGGAAGCGATGAAAGAATCAAGAGCCAATGAAAATTCAAAAGGCTAGAACAAAGGACCAAATAAAAAACTAGTTAACCAGACAGAGAAAAATTACCAGGGGCTCTATAAATTCTACACTCGAGAATAAAAACACATGTACAAGGAAGAGAAGTAGCTGGACAGATGTGGTTGTCCAAAAGGTTAATGGAATACTGGATTACATTAACAGAAATATGGTATACTAACATGGAATTTTCTACTTTCTTCCTTTCTCATCCAACTCTAATCTGGAACACTTGGCTTATTTCTCTATATCACACTTAAGGACATACTATAAGGTGTTCCAAACAGACACAGCAGAATGGAAAAGAAACTCATCAAATGAAGAATTAAGGAACTGGTGACCAGGGGGGAACTATTATTTGCTTAACACTTATGTGGCTGACAATATTAGGTACACTATTTCACTTCATTTTCACAAAAATCCTAGGAAATATCATCCCCATTTCACAGCTGAGGAAAGTGAGGCACTGAGAGATGGATGTCCCCAATCTACACAGTTAATAAATAGAAATCCAAATTTCAAACATAAGCAGTCTGACTTTAAGTCATGCTTTTCCATTGCACCATGCAGTTCGCTTAGAATAGAAAAGCTTACGGCTTTCTCTAAGATAATGTTGGCCACGCAGTTCAAAAACCGGTGTCTTCAAACCAAAAAGCTGTCACGTGGAAGCAGATTAGATTAGTACACTTATGTCCCAAGAGGTAGAACCAGTATCACTGGTTAAAAGGTCAGAGAAATAAAGAGGGGCAGAACACAAGAAGAAACTTCGAGCTATGTAAAAGTGGAAGGGGCTGTCTCATGAGACAACAAACTCCCTGTCACTAGGGATGCTCCAGAAAAACCACATAGGGAAAGCACTGAGGACTCAAAAATTGATGGGGCTTGGGCACTGATCCCAGAGACTCCAGCGATTCTATGGAAGAGATAACAGAAATGTTCTATGAAGATATACTACTAAAAGGATCCATATAATTGCTTTAAGAAAATTACAAACCTTTAGCTGTGCATAAATCTGCCGAATCATATTAAAAGTCAGTGCATTTAGTAACTTTGGTCTGTTTAGTGTTATCACTCCTGCACAACCTTTTCTTTCCAAGAGTACTTCTGCTGCATCCGTGTGCTTTGACATTCTCTGTGTAAACAAAGAATAACTTGAGGATAAAATTCATTAAGTTTTTGTCACAAGCCAACATCAAAACATATACATCGAATGCAAATCTTTTACACAATGGTACATTAAAAGTATAATAACAATGGTAACTAATTGAATGAATAACTAGGTATATCTGACAAAGGTTTCTAAAGTCATCTAGACTGTACATGGACAGTTCCAAAGCAAACTATACATACCTCTTAAATCTTTTGATTTTTATTTCTGAGTAAACTGAGTCAACTGATTTAGAATAGAACCCAATCCTAGAATTACCCAGACTATGAAATACTCTTAAATCTTTTCATTTATTACTGTATACCAAGCAATATGTTAGGTGCTTGGAAAGCAAAGATGAACAGAGAGGGCAAATAATTCTGACTATAGTAGCTACTGACAATTTTAAAAAAAGGTGACATTTGAGTTGGGCCTTAATGTATGCCAAGAAAAACGGCTGTGAGAATCCTAGAGAATAGCACATGCTAAAACACAAGCAATGAATATTTGGAAATATTAAGATGTTAAAAATGAATGGAATAAAGGTGGGTTGAGAAAATGATGGGAAAGTAGGCAGAATAAGTAGTTTGAGGCCAGATTATAAAATGACAAACTTACATATCATATTATTGTGAAGAAGTTGCCTAGACACTCACTTAGGGCCTCACACATCATAACTTAATCATCAGGTTTCACTGCTCATGTAACATAAAATACTAATATAACAGCTGTAAGGAAACATTTTAAACTACACAGCAGTTTCCCAGGACTCTGCTATACACAACTATCAGGGCTAATAGCACCACCATACTTAATACATTCCTTTACCTAAGGACAATACTTTAAACCTCACATTGGGACAGTGTGCAATGTAAAATTCAAAGTCAGTTTAAATTGGAAAATTTTAACTGGAGAATGCCAATTAAAATTCAACAACACATTTATTAACTAAAATCTAACAAAACCCAGAAGTCCATATTTTGATAACATTAAGCAACATCTTTACACAGTGTTTGAGTCCTCTTTTATAAAATAATGTTCCATATTTAATGTTAGAGTTAATTTTTACTAAAATTCATTATCAGATAAAAATAAAAATAATTTATATTCACTTAAAAGGGTTACAGGAAAACAGAAACGTTTGCATCCTTTCACAATTCAGATTAAAACTTATAACTATAACTACAGTAAGATCTTATTTTTTTAACCAAATTGACAAATACCAAACAGTCTGATATCCTGTGATGTCTACAGTATGAAGAAACAAACATACTGTGGGAGCATAAACCATTACAGAACCCAGGAAAAACAATCTGACAACACATTTTTATTTATTTATTTTTTTTATTTTTCCCCCCAAAGCCCCAGTGGATAGTTGTATGTCGTAGCTGCACATCCTTCCAGTTGCTGTATGCGGGACTCGGCCTCAGGATGAACGGAGAAGTGGTGCCTCGATGCGCACCCGGGATCTGAACCCCGGGCCACCAGCATCGCAGCGCGCGCACTTAACCACCAAGCCACAGGGCCGGCCCTGACAACACATTTTTAAAAGCATACTTGCTGACACCGTAATTCTTCTTCCAGAAATTTACCCTATAGATATTTTTACATACAGGCAAAATGAAATACACACAAGGATAGTCACCGCATTGTCATTTCTAATGGCAAGAGACTAGAAATGACCTAAATGTTATCTGTGGGAGACTAGTTAAATAATAGTCATTCATACAAATGATGCTATGGAGCCTTTACAAATGAGGCAGCTACCTCTCCATACACTGTCATGGAACAATCTCAAATGCAGACAGTGTGTTTACTATGCTACCCACCGTGTACATGGGCACACACAAATTTATACAGAGAATCTATCTCTAGATGCTTACGTAAGACATTGCCAAAATAGTTGCTTCCAGGAAAGAAAATCAGGCATCTGAGAGACAGAGGTGGGAAGACTTTTTACTGTATGGCTCCAAGGAACTTTTTGAATTTTGTACCATATGTACTCACTTCCTATTCAAAACAATATTTTAAATAATTTTTTCTAAAAAGGGCAATAGATTACATTTAAAAGGTACTAAACTATATGACAGAAAACTGTATTCTTCATTTTCCTACCTTATTGATACTAAAGAAAAATTTATGATAAAAGAAAACTATACACAAAAATCACAAAAGAAACCAGACTTTCAAATGTCTAGCTTCATTTTCTGTAATGTTGATGAAACATATGAGCCAAGTTTACTGACCAGCTAAAGGAGAATAGATCCAAAACAGATACAGTCCAGGATACAAGGAACTATAATTTATGTCAACAAATGCAAACTGCACTGGCCACATAACTGACAACAAATAACTTTTAAAAGTGAAAGCATTTACAGGGGAAAGTGTAAGTGGAAAGCAATTTGGCAATGTGTATGAAGAGTCTTTTAAACATTCTAACGTTGAAGAAATAATTCTTTAGAAATTTATCCTCAGAAAATAAGCTGAAATCTAGTGAAATATTTAGAGGATAATCTTGTTAAAAATATATACACATACGCAGAAATAAAAATAATGGCCATATATACATCAAATGATAAACAATGATTTGGGGTCACCTTCTTGGTGATTTTCTGTATTTTTCAAATTTTCTGCCATAAGCATAACGAATATTTGGTTACTCAAGAATGCCTCAAAGAACAAAAAAGGAAAAAAAGGATGCTTGACACAATTATTTATAATATCAAAAATACACAATACTTAATATATGATATTCATATGATTTAATTCATGTTACTCATATGATAATACTGTAGAGTTATTGGAAAACATGTGTTTGAATATTTAATGGTAATAATAAGCTTCATAATATGATGCAAAGTAAAAAAGAAGAGTCAAGGGCCGGCCCAGTGGTGCAAGCGGTTAAGTGCGCACGATCCGCTGCGGCGGCCCAGGGTTCGACGGTTCGGATCCTGGGCACGCACTGACGCTCTGCTTGTCAGGCCATGCTGTGGTGGTGTCCCACATAAAGTAGAGGAAAATGGGCCAGGGCCAGTCTTCCTCAGCAAAAAAAGAAGAGGATTGGCAGATGTTAGCACAGGGCTGATCTCACAAAAAAAAAAGAAGAGTCAAAACAGCAAAGATACATAAGATGAGACAAATCACAAGGAAATATACCAAAATGTTTACTGATTAGACTTGGATAGGATTATTGGTTATTTTAATTTTTCTCCCTTGTACTATGCTTTATTTCTGAATTTTCAGCAGTGATCTTTCACACATTTTAAAATAATTTTAATGTTGTTTTTAGGAGTTATACCCATTTCAATACACAACCTTGGTCACTTTGTAACTTTTCAGAAAAATCTTTTTAAAAAATGAGTGTAGCAAAACATAACCTAAATGACTTGGGGAAAGATTTCAGAACTAACACTGCTAAGAAAATTAGGTTAAAAGTGACCACCTATTAGTTAGTTCTGGATGATGTTTCTGGTCCCTGTACTAGACAGCTAGAATATTATGAAAATTTCTCATTTCATGGAATTTAGCAGATAAATTCTACCCCAATTAAAGGAAATCTCGGGCCAGCCCCGTGGCTTAGCAGTTAAGTGCGTGCGCTCCGCTACTGGCGGCCCAGGTTCGGATCCCGGGCGCGCACCGACGCACAGCTTCTCTGGCCATGCTGAGGCCGCGTACCATGTACAGCAACTAGAAGGATGTGCAACTATGACATACAACTATCTACTGGGGCTTTGGGGAAAAAAAAATGAGGAGGATTGGCAATAGATGTTAGCTCAGAGCCGGTCTTCCTCAGCAAAAAGGGGAGGATTAGCATGAATGTTAGCTCAGGGCTGATCTTCCTCACCAGAAAAAAAAAAAAAACAAAGGGAAATCTCTATACGTAGGTAGTATCAGTCATGACTTTTTTTATAGTTACAAAAGTATAGGAAATATCTCCAAGACAGCAGAATTAATATCATCTATTTCAGTATCACTCAAATCCATCCCAGGTCTATAGGACCAAGTCTGAAGCTTCCCCACACCCCCTAGGGAGATATGCAGTCCCAGCCTAGGTAGTGCCATAACCTATAACCAAAACGAAGCCTACAAGAAAGTAGTGTGCCAAGAGAAAAACCACAGCAAAGAGCAAGCCCAGGCCAGAAAGTGAGCCGTGGTCATTTTGTACTGTGAGCACCTGGGTACACAAACTATATTTCCTGGAATCTCCTTCTCTGATTGGTTATGAGTTAGCTGATTAAAAAAAAAAACTTATAAGTGAACTTTGGAAATAGAAGTGAAGCAGCAGCCATTACTCTGAAAGTGCTGGCAAGTTCCAGCTTGTCCTTTTACTCTCATGCTCTATGTCCAGTTCTTCTTCTTGCCAGCCCTGCTGACCAACAGAGACACCAGGCCCACCAGCCAACACGGCCTTCCACAGACTCACCCACCACCTCTCCCTCACAGTCTCACTCCAGCAGCTGGAACTGCCTGGCGTCACAGATTTTCTTGTAAGTTCCTACAACAACTCCTCCTCTAGACCCTTTCATAGCTTTGGTCAGTACTGAAGATCTTGTTCCCATAATAAATCTTTTATTCCATGACACTGTAGGGGAGGAGAAATAATTTTTCCTCTACTCTTCTAGGTTCTTGGCTGAGACCCACTGTAATAAGATAGATTAACAGGAGAAAAACAAATTTAATTTTGTACATACAGGGCCCCCACAAAGATATGAGACTCAAAGGCATTCAGGCAACTGAGGCTTATATGCCATCCTGAACTAAGGAAAGGGATAGGGGTCTTGGGCTTCAACGGGGAGGAAGATAATTCACAGGAAGGTGAGAAGAGTAGATGTCTGGTAAACAAATGTTTGCCCTGCCACGCAGATTAAGTCTCTCAAATATAAAAAGTTATCTCTAGTAATAGCTTTCCTCCCGGTACAGGCCCCCTTTCTAATTTCTTTTAGGCAGTTAAGGCAGAGGTAAAAAGATTTTCCTGAGTCTGCTGG